GGCACGGCAACCGTTCTGAGTAGTGTCGTGCCACTCGGCCCGTTGCAAGGCAAAAACCTGTTCGGGCCCTGCGTGCAATGGTGAACCCAACAGTCGCAAACGTGCAGCTCTTCTTAGTGCGTCGGGCGGGGTCTTCTGAGTCTGGTCAGCACTTGACCATCGCCCATGCGCGATTCGGCTTCCACAAAACGAACCTTCGCCGCAGCTCGGTGGACTTTCATGACTTCAGCGTCAGCCATTTTGGCCTCCGCCGTTGTTGGCGTAGTCCACGCGCCCGAGTTGTTGAGACCCCCCGATGACGCCAGACTTTCGGCGAACATCATGCATGTCGGGTCGGTAAGAGCCTCGGTGGAGAAAGCTCTAGTGCGCAACGCCCGTGAAGTAGCTGTGGCACTGCTGGCTCGATATCGGACCTCGGGCCCCATGTTGCCTTGAGAATCAATAGCTGAACCAAGATGTACATAGTGCTTGACAATTGGTGCCCGCGCGGTCCCAAGTAGCTGTGCCTGCGCAACCGCATGCCCACCGCACTCGTGCCATGCGCGTTCGTCTTCTTCGATTCTTTTCTTCGGTCGGCCAAAAGGGCGGTCGTTTTTGTAAGTCCGAGGTCGAGTAGGTGTCCTCTGCTAGCAAACGCATCGGCAACCGCGGCAAGCGCACGGCACGTGGCAGGATACAGGTCGGAAGCAGGGACAATCACAATGATGGCGCCGTCGTCCGCAAAGGTGACGTCCAGCGGCGGCGCGGTGGTCGCAGTGCCGGCATCGGTTGCTATACCCTGCGCGCTATTGCGCTCATCTGTAGGCAAATGCAGGGCTAGTCCTCCAGCGTCCAATTGAGCTCGCACAGCGTGCATGCGTTCACCCATAAGCATCTCGCGCAATATCAGCGAGAGGCTGCCCAGGGAGAACCGAGCGCTGTGGCGAGGAAATCTGGTCGGAACCCTCGCGCAGGAACCAGGGGGCATGGTGGCGTTGCGAAATCTGAGCCGCCGTGCGTGCATGTAGTGTACCGTTCACCACTTGCTGTTCAACAGTAGGTGTCAGCTCACGCATGCGCCTTGCGAGCTCATGCATGGCGCTCGCCGGTAGACCTGCTGCCCTGGCAATGCAAGCGACAGCATCAACGTCAAGCGGTGATCGAAGTCGTAGTTCCCGCAAGGCACGGTGAATGCCTGCGCCGCGCCCAGGAATAGCACGCCAAACGGCAGAGCACGGGCGGCCGCAACAGCTTTCGCAAGACGAATAATTCCCGACGCATGGGGGGTTCCTCTACTTGGTATCCCCCCAAACTTCGTAGCCCCTGCCATGGCAAGCAGTGCCGGCATCAACCGAGTCCGCAAGCATCTTCGCGATGCCTTTCCGAGCTGTGAGGACGCCAGAATAGACCGGGAGCTGGCGCAGGCACTATGGTCGGCTGTGATGGACTTCAGCCAATCGCGATAGAAACCTACCTTCCATCGAATAGGCTCAATTCTAGACGCCACGCGTATCCCCACCAGCTCATCCACAAACGATGCGTAGGGGAGCTGACGGAAGAATGGAAGAAGAGACGCACGTAGTGAAACCGAGCGGGCGACAACGGTAAATTGGGTGATCTTTTGTGGTGAAGGTTGCCTCTTTGGGCCGCTTGGGTCCTCTTGGGGGCCTCTTGGGAGCCTCCTGCCTGGGGCCATCTTGGGGGCTTCTTGGGGCCTCCTGGGCGCCTCTTGGGGCCGTCTTGGAGGAGATCGATCGAAGAAGAGGGTGGTGGCAATTTGCGCCCCCCCTCGGGGGCCTCTAAACTCGCATCCTGGACCGCTCTTGGAGCGCTCTTGGGCGCTCTTGGGGCCGTCTGAGGGCTCTCTTCGGGGCCTCCTTGGCCCCTCTTGGAGCCACCTTGGGGCCTCGGGCGGCCATCGGAAGCGAGGAGGCGAGAAGGCAACAATCATGTGTTTTCCTCTGGTGTTTGAAAGATTCTGGCATCTTGGAGGCCCCCTTGGGAGGCTATTTGGCTTCTTGGAGCCGTCTTGGGGCGGTCTTGGGGCCTCTTGGGGCATCTTCGGAGCCGCGTGGGGGCTTCTTATGCTATCTCGAGACATATTGGAGCTCATCTTGGGCTCTCCGAAGCGCTTTCGGAGCCGTCCTGGGCCATCTTGGACGCCCCGTGGTAGGTGCAGTAGCCTCAGTAGAAGTAATCGTAGCAGGAGTAGGTGTAGTAGTATTGGTAGTCGTAGCAGTAGCAGTAGTCGTAGCTGTAGTATTCCTGGTCGTGGTAGCAGTAGGAGGAGTTGTGTTAGGAGTAGCGTCGGTAGTAATAGTAGTAGTAGTAGCAGTCGTAGTTGTAGTACTTGGAACTGTGGTCGTAGTCTTACCAGCAGAGCTAGCAGTAGCAGTAGTAGTAGTAGTAGTAGTAGTAGTGGCAGTAGTAAGGGTCTTGGGGGTAGTAGTCGTAAAAGTAGTAAAAGTAGTAGCAGTAGGAGTAGCACTCGCAGTAAAAGTGGTGGTAGTAGTAGTAGTTGTAGTAGTAGTAGTAGTAGTAGTAGTCGTCGTAGTAGTAGTGGTAGCGGGAGTAGATGTAGTAGCAGTAGCAGTAGCAGTAGCATTGGTAGTAGTAGTAATAGTAGGAGTAGTAGTAGTAGTAGTAGTAGTAGTAATGGTACTAGTAGTAGTAGTAGTAGTAGTAGTAGTAGTAGTAGTAGTCGTAGTAGTAGCAGTAGTCGTAGTAGTCGTAGTCGCCGTAGTCGTAGTCGTAGTGGTAGTAGGAGTAATCGTAATAGTAGTAGTAGTAGTAGCAGCAGTAGTAGTAGGAGGAGGAGCAGTACACTACTAGTCGTAGTAGTACTTGTTGTTGTTGTTGTAGTAGTAGTGGTAGTTGGAGCAAGAGTAGCAGTAGTAGTTGAAGTAGTAGTAGTAGTAGTAGTAGTCGTCGTCGTCGTCGTCGTCGTCGTCGTCGTCGTCGTCGTCGTCGTCGTCGTCGTCGTCGTCGTCGTAGTCGTAGTCGTAGTAGTAGTGCTAGTACTCGCAGTAGTTTTTCGTAGTAGTAGCAGGAGTAGGAGTCGTACTATGAGTAGTTATAGTGGTAATCGTAGTAGTACTCGTAGTAGTAGTAGAAGTAGTAGTAGTAGTAGTAGTAGTAGTAGTAGTAGTCGTAGTAGTAGTAGTAGTAGTAGTAGTAGTAGTAGTAGTAGTAGTAGTAGTCGTAGTAGTCGTAGTAGTCGTAGTAGTAGTAGCAGTGGTATTAGTTGTTATTGTAGTAGTTGTAGTTGTACTAGTAGTAGTCGTACTAATAGTCGTAGTCGTAGTAGTGGCAGTAGTCGTAGTAGTAGTAGTAGTAGTAGTAGTAGTAGTAGTAGTAGTAGTAGTAGTAGTAGTAGTAGTAGTAGTAGTAGTAGTAGTATTAGTAGTAGTAGTAGTAGGTAGTAGTAGTAGTAGTAGTAGTAGTAGTAGTAGTAGTAGTAGTAGTAGTAGTAGTAGTAGTAGTAGTAGTAGTAGTAGTGGTAGTCGTAGTCGTAGTCGTAGTCGTAGTCGTAGTAATAATAGTTGTGGGACGCGAGAGGGTGAGACTGCAGTGGGACGGAGTGTAGTGGTTGTGGGACGCGAGGAGGTGAGACCGCAGTGGAACGGAGTGACCCCACCGGGAAATCGGTTTCGGCTTCGCGTTTGTATCGTGCCATGCAGGCGAGGCGAAGCTGCGTGGGCGCGCCAGAGGCATGATGCCGCCGTGGCTCGGGGTTGTGAAGCCGATTCTCCCCCCCCCCCCCCTGGCGCGCGGGGCGCGCGGTGGCCGAGGGGGTCCCGTCGGTGTTGCGGGGTGTCCCGCGCGGTGGCGCGGGGTCTCCCGCTTGGTTGCGCGGGGTGTCGATGAGATCGATCACGATATCGATAGTGGGATTGATCGTGAGATCGATAGTGGTATGTCGTGGTACCGATTGTGGGATCGATTTGGGGATCCGTGGTGAGATCCATCGTGATTTTTGTTGTGAGATCGATGGTTGGATCGCTCGTGAGATCTATAGTGGGACCGACCGTAATATTGATCGTGAGATCGATTGCGACATCGATTGGGTGATCTATTTTCCATTGTGATACCAATCGTGGGATCGGGTGTTGGATCGATAGTGAAACCGATAGTGGTTACAGGTGCGACAGCGATAGTGAGTCCGAATGTGAGATCGATAGTGAATTCGATATTCGGATCAAAGGCAAGATCGGTCGGTAGTGCGACCTGTTGTGAGATTGATCGTAAGGTCGGTTGTGACATCGATAGTGCGTTTTATTGTCAGATCGGTAATTAGATCGATTGGGAGGTCGATCGTGAGATCGGTTGCCAGATCGATAATGTGATCGTCTGTGAGATCGACGATGAGCTCTGTTGTGGCATCAAGAGTTTCATCGATGTAAGACCGATTGAATGAGACGTTGTTCCCCTCCCGCCCTCGAACCTCCAGATCGCCCGAAGTGTGGCCGTATAGGTAGTAGTAATCCTACCGGTGTTGTTTTTTTCTGGTCCGGGCCAGGGATGAGCAGCCGATGCCCGTGCCAGCCCGTCCTACGAACGGCCCAGAGCACAGAAGCAAGTGGGACCCGCGCCACCCTTGCTGCTGCTCTGCTGTGCAGCGTTCCGCGGGCTCCTTGTCCTCCCCTTCTTGCTCCTCGCTGGCTCCTCGCTGTGCGTGCTGCTGTGCGGGATGGCCGCTCGTTGGTTTTCTCCCCATTCTCTCGTGCGCTGCGGGGGGCCCTGGTCGGTAGTTTTGGGTCACGAAGCCATGTAACAGATTGGGTGGTCTGGGGGCCCAGAATCTCGGCTATAGGCCGTTCCTAAGTTGGTTTCGAATCAGCTTTCAGACACGCGCCCTCAAGAGTTAGTAGTAGTCCTCCTCCCTCCTCCGCCTCCCCTCCTCGGTCTCGCCCTCTCCCCTCCTCCACCCTCGTACCCCCCCCCATTCCCCCCAGTCCTCCCGGTGCCGCCCGGGGGCGTCCCCACTGGCCACGCCTCCGTCGCGGGCCGCGGGCCGCCAGGTGAAGCTGCCCGCGTGCACGGTGGAGGCGCAGCGCATGCTGGAGTTCCTCGTCCTGGAGAAGGCGGGAGTCGGGCGGGGCCAGGACGCCAGGACGAGGATAATGCCGTGCCAGAACGTTCCGGAATTTCGGGCCTCCCAGATGGGGTCGGAGCAGATGGTGTCGTGGGAACACGCCGCATTGGCGCTGCATCGGCGATGCGTCGCCGATACATCGGCGATGCGGCTCGATGTGTAGCCCGACGTCGCCGATGCATCGCCGATGCATCGGTGATGCATCGACGATGCGGCGTGATCTTCCGACCCCATCTTCTCGGACTTCATCTAGGAGGCCTGTAGGAACGCTTTCAGAGCGTGCTGGAGCGCTCTGAGGCGGGGGATCCTTACGTGGAAAAGGAGAAAGGCCCTGGCTCCCCGGCCCAGGTCCCCTCGAGTCACGGTGAAAATCACGACGTCAGGTTTTTCGCTATTTTCGGCTTCTGGGGTCCCTTACTGGGCCTCGGACTGTCAAAATCCGACTCAGGATGAGAAGCAGGTCCCGGGGATTTGGTCGAGAACGTTGGGGGTCGGTGTTATGAAAAAACATCATGTCGGGGGATTGGGAAGAGAGGTTTAGGCTCCCTGGGTGAGCTCAGTCTGCCGGACGTGCCAGGCCGAGTTAGCTCTGGCCCTGGTGGGCTGGCCTGGTGGCTGGGAGTCGGGGCTGCGCATACCTCGGGAAGGAGAACGGGTAATTATCAGCAATTGAGGCCACGATCACAAACATCTACGTTCAGGGAATGCACAGAACATTAGCCAGAACATGCACAGAACACGTACCGAGCATGCGCAGAGCGCCCCGTGCCGCTTCGTGGACAATCGAGGGCGACACTAGATGGGGCCTTGCGCCAAGCAGTGGCCAAATCTGTTTGATATTGAAACGAATCCTGATGTGGTCGCAGTCTCCGCAGGCGAATCACGCTCCCCCGCGGGGGCGGGCGGACCTTGCCAGTTCGCATTGGAACTTGAGGAACGCCTCGCTGGATTACCGCTGGCTGCATCTTGTGGTCTTTACATGTTTTGGTCCAGAGGCCTGGCGTTTCTTCAACAGCGGCACGTTGATGGATGCCCCACGGCGGCATTCACGCACGACGCCAAGCATCCGCAGGGACGCGTAGGCAGAGAAGAGGTGCTCAGTGGCAACTCTCCGAGCAGAGCGGCTGGGACAGCGCACCTGGTGTGTGCAGGGGCGCGGAACACGCAGGAGAGGGAAGAGGAGGAGGAGGAGGCGGAGGAGGAGGAGGACAAGGAGGAGGCGGAGGAGGAGGAGGAGGAGGAGGAAAAGGCATCCTGTTGTCGCTCCTCGAATGCCCATGGCCTCGAGTGCCTACGGCCTCGAATGCCCACGGCCTCGCGGCCTGGACTTCTCGGCCGCGGCGCCGCGGGTGCGAGATTCGGGGCCTGCTCCGCGCCGACGCCCCGCGCGGGACGCACCCATGAGATCTGGGGCGTCCACGGGATCGCGCCCTCGGTGCAGTGGGGGTGCGCATCAAGAAACCATATGCTTTTCGTCTGGGTACCCGGGGTTTCTTGGCTCAGCGCGCTGCGCGGTTGCTTTTCGTGGCCGTGGAGGGAGCTGCTGCGTTTGGGTTGATCTGGGCTCCCCTTGATTTGCACCTCGCGCCTGCGGGTTTCAGGGCTGGGTTTCTTGCAACGGTTTCTTGCGGCCGCGCCCGCACTGTATCCAGGCCGCGAGGGCATGGAATGTTCGTCGTTTGGCCCCCGTCCCCCAGGCCCTTCCCCTTCCCCCCTCCCTCCCGCCTGTCCACAGCACATCCTGCGACGACCTGTTTGCAATCATGCGATGGAGCCGACACTACTCTGGGTTCGAGGGGGCGGGGGGGGGCGGAGGGTCGAAGTTTGAGGATCGAGGTCTTTCTACAGTTTCGGCCTCTCGGAGCTAATTTCGAGCCTCAGGACCGTCGAACAAAGATCTGGGATGAACAGACCGTAAGACGACGATGATGGTCATTGTGATGGTGATGGTGATGCTGACGGTGGTGGTGATGATGGTGATGGTGATGGTGGTTACGGTGGTGATGACGATGACGATGACGAGGACGATGATGATGACGATGCTGACGACGACCATGATGCTGATGATGATGCTGATGATGTTGATGCTGATGTTGATGCGGATACTGATGATGATGGCGGAAGTGGTGTTGGTGGTGGTGGTGTGGATCGTGGTGGTGGCGGTGGTGGTGTTGGCTGTGCGGGTGGTGCTGATGATGATGCTGATGATGATGATGATGATGCTGATGATGATGATGGTGATGATGATATGGATGATGATGCTGATGATGCTGATGATGATGATGGTGAGGATGATGATGCATGTGATGCTGATGACGATGGTGATGCCTTATGGGTGAGTATGGAGATGAGGATCAAGACGATGGTGAGGATGATGGTGATGTGATGATGCTGTTGCAGCTGATGATGATGACGATGCTGATGAGGATGAGGATGAGGATGAGGATGAGGATGAAGATGATGATGATGATGATGATGATGATGATGATGATGATGATGATGATGATGATGATGATGATGATGATGATGATGATGATGATGATGATGATGATGATGATGATGATGATGATGATGATGATGATGATGATGATGATGATGATGATGATGATGATGATGATGATGATGATGATGATGATGATGATGATGATGATGATGATGATGATGATGATGATGATGATGATGATGATGATGATGATGATGATGATGATGATGATGATGATGATGTGATGATGATGATGATGATGATGATGATGATGATGATGATGATGATGATGATGATGATGATGATGATGATGATGATGATGATGATGATGATGATGATGATGATGATGATGATGATGTGATGATGATGATGATGATGATGATGATGATGATGATGATGATGATGATGATGATGATGATGATGATGATGATGATGATGATGATGATGATGATGATGATGATGAGTACAGTTCTGAGGCTCTCAAGAAACTACGCCCGCGCGATTCAGCGTCTGTGCCGACATCAGCTTCAGAGCGCAAAATCAAGATACACAGATGATGGCCCTCCAGGGATCTGCAACAGAACGAGGACAGCCCTCATCAGCAGAGGTTGGATCTCCGATCGCACGCGCCCGAGTGCAAGTGCAACATTATGGTCCATGTCCGATTGCCTGCAACATGCCGGCTCCTGAATCTGCTATCCACGATGCGACAATTCGCTATTGGCTTTCACGGCCACTGCCCCTCCATGGAAAGGAAGCACGAGTCACGAGCAAGGTAACGATTGTTTTCGGCACGAACTCGTCCGCCTTGTAAATCAGAGCCCACTGTGCCTCCATCTGCCCATAGCACCTCCCAGAACACAATGCTTCGCCAACAGCAATGGCAATACATGACAACTTGAACAAGACAACGGCGAGGTGCCATGTGCACACGAGCGGGTACGAAGCACTTTAGGCCATCTTCTTGGCGACCTCGAAGAGCGTCTCGAAACGCTTGTCTTTAGGCCTCTGCGGGACAGCACCGTTGCCCGCATCACTCGGCTGATTCGGTCGACGCCTCCGGGTGCCTCCATGTTCGACGACTGATGTTTGATCTAGTGGTGGTGATGACGCAGGTGGTGGTGGTGGTGATGATGATGATGATGATGATGATGATGATGATGATGATGATGATGATGATGATGATGATGATGTTGATGATGCTGTTGCTGATGATGATGGTGAGAGCATGAGGACGAGGAGGAGGAGAAGGAGGAGAAGGAGGAGGAGGAGGAGGCGAAGGAGGAGGAGGAGGAGAAGGAGGAGGAGGAGGAGGAGGCGGAGCAGGTGGGGCGGGCATTGCGAGAAGGAGGCGGAGGATGAGGAGGAGGAGGAGGAGGAGGAGGAGAAGATGGCCGACGGAGGGGGGAGGGAGTAGATCAGGACGTGGAGGAGTACGACCATTTCTCCTCCCCGCGCGCCCCTGGAGGGCCACTCGATCTCCCGGGCGGCTGAGATCTCCGGCATACCCGTGGAGACCGTCAGGAGCGCCTTGCAGGCCCCCCCGCGGCGGCGGCGGCGTGGCGCGCACCTCCCCCTGGAGCTTTGGGGGAGCGGGGGGCCCTGCCTCGATCGGGGTGCAGTCGCCCACTTTTCTCCCTCCTCCTTTTCCTCCCCCTCCTCGGTCCTCCTCCTCGCTCCTCCTCCTCCTCGCTCCTCCTCCTCCTGCTCCTCTCCTCCTCCTCCTCCTCCTCCTCCTCCTCCTCCTCCTCCTCCTCCTCCTCCTGCTCGTCGCAAGAGACTTCTTTCAGGGTCCGCCGATACCCTGGGTCATCGGGCCCGCCCCCCCCCCTTCCTCCCCCCCAGATCATCTGACCTTGTCGGTTGCGCAGGTCCGAGATGGGGTCAGTATTGGCTCGCGCGGGCAATCGTTGGCCCGCCCATTGCGAAGAGGTTTGGTTATCGGCCGCTTCCCCCCTCCCCCCCCCGAATGACCCTGGTTATCGCCGACAATGGGTCGGCTAGGAGCGTCCATCAAGGCCTCCCGAGTGTTGTCCGAGTGGATTTGGCCGGTGGATCGCGCCGCATCGCCGACGCATCGGCGATGTGGCTCGACGTGAAGCGCGATTCTATCCACGCTGGCGTCGCCGATGCACCGCCGGCATCGCCGACGCATCGGCGAGACATCAGCGGTGCGGCGCCATCTTCTTACCCTATCTACTCGGACTTCGTTTGGGAGGCCTCTTGTCAGGGGTGTGTGGATACAGAGGAGGCCCATTCCAAGAAACACCCTGCTTGCCTCCAGGGTGCCCTCGGTTTCTTGGGTTTCGATGGTTTTGCCGTGGACAGCGCGACGTCCCCACATCAAAAAGATAAATGGACGTCATGCGGTCTCATGGTTGGGTTTCTCGTGGAAGGTTTCTTGTGGACTGGCCTCCACTGTATCATGATCGTGGCCATGAGATCTTCCAGATCTCATGCCCCCCTCTCCCCGCGCACGTGCGCCTCGGGCCATGCTGAACGCAGCCCCCCTCTTGCAGGCCGCCCCCCGCGGCGCACGCGCGTCGGGGGGAGTCGATGAAGTGCCCGCTGATTCTCGCAGGAGGCTTCTACTGGTTCTTGTGGGTTTTCTCGCCCGGGGGTGCTTCCCCTCCGCTGCGCCAGGTCGCGAGCCCTCTACGCGCGCTCGAGCCCGACCCGTCCCGAACGACCGCCAGGTGCCCGACCTGTGGCCCGAAGGCCACCAGTCGTCGGAGAGGAAGGTGGGGCCTCTACAGTCGGACCGAGGTGTGAGATCGAGGTCGCTTCGGGGAGGGTACCCTCATGGTTTTCGTGTTTGTTGGATGTTCGTGTGCATCCTGGGGAGGGCACCCTTGGATGTTCTGTGTGTTTTGGCCGGCGGAGGGTCTTCTGTTCTCGAACGTCGCTTTTCTGTCTTAGGTCCGACTGTGGCTATGTGTGTGGGTGGATGTCATGGGCAGGGCAATGTATTATGTCAGATTCCATGGCCCTCTCTTCTCTTCTCTTGGCATCGCTCGGACGTGTGCAGTTTCTCTCGCCGATTACCATCCAGGAGCATCCTGGGTTGTGTGTGTGAGGAAAAACACGTACTAGACCGAAAAAGGCACGGGGAATGGACGTCCGAGCGTTGACGAGCTCTTCTGTCGATAACTCTCGGGCTCCACTCTGTTATCCGCGCAAACACATCGGGCCATGATGAGCTACCCCCCCTCTTCCTGGCCCCCTTCAACCGGTGGATCGGGGCGCAGGCCACGGAGGTTCAGCGCTGACGGCCCCAGCGCGGCAGCGGCGACGACGAGGTGGATCGAGGTTCGGATGCCGAAGTTTGAGGCTTGATTGTTTCTCTCTCTCTCTCTCTGTTTTTGTGGCTCCTTCTGACCGCAGCTGGATCCGCCTCTAAACCCTGGACCCCAGGGCGGGTCCGGGGCCAAGACAGGAGGTCGTGTACACCGATCCTGGGTCGAGGATGAGCCTGGCCAGCATCGGCGAGGTGGTGCGTTGACGGCCCCCGACATTCTGGGCCACTGGGGACTTTCGCCAACATCGGGAAACTTCGGAGACGAAACGGGGGGGAGACGAAACGTGGCACTTCGGAGACGAAACGGAGCATCGACCCTGCGTCGCCCATGTAACCGCCGTTTTGGAGTCGGGCCTTCGCTTTGCCCAGGAACGTGCGTCGCGCTCCCGGGGGCCTATTGCCGACCCAGCAGTTATTGTTGCATCGCCCCTCTGGGTCGATACTGCCCCCTGAGCAGGACGCCCGAGGTCAGGGGATGAGGAAGGCGTCTCCGTAGCAGCATGTGCAGGCACGCGCGTCCTTCACGTGCGAGTGGTTCCGCGGCTTGGGCTTCGCGTTCGAGGAGCTGGCCGCTGGTGTGCGTGTGCGTGTGCGTGTGTGCGTGTGCGTGGAGGTCGCAAAGGGGTGCGGTATAAAGGGGTGCGGTGCCAATGCTGATAGCGATGCTATGTACGATAGCCGCAAGTGCGATGCAGCCCGGTTTCAACAACGTTGGCTTCGCGTCGACCGCTTCAAACAAAGTCGATTGAATAATTCCAACTCCCCGATCGACTTCCGTCTTATCTGAACGGCGACAAAAGGCCCAATCCATGAAGCCGTATCGCCAGGCACGCGATTCCGGAATTTCCGGAAATTATTTGTGTGAGTCCAGAGTTTCTGGAACGTCGTTTCGGAGTTTCAGGAATTATGGTTTGTATTGAAGCAATATTATTTTGACATTTCTACGTTTTGGGTGATACGGATATTCCAGAATTGCGCTTTTCGCGATTCGGAATTTCTGAAATTTCGTGTTTGGTGATGGGGCGTCCAGGAACAGGTGTAGTGTTGCCGTTCACATAAGTTTGCGGTCGTTTGGGGGAATTGGAATCAAGAGCTCTGACGTTGCTTGAGGCGGTCCGTGCAACGCCAATGTTGTTGAAATGGGGATGCAACGGACTTGCGGCCGTCGTAGATAACATCGCCATTCTCAGCATTGGCACCGCACCCCTTGATACCACATCCCTTTGCGACCTCTAGACGTGTGTGTGTGTGTGTGTGTTTCAGTGCGCGCGTGTGTGTGTGTGTGTGTTTGCGTGTGTGTGTGTGTGTGTTTGCGTGTGTCAGTGCGCCCAGATTTCCATCGTCTTGAACAAACCAAGGCGTGTTTATCTCTTTCACTTCAAACACTGATACATTATGTTCGACCTATGAGATCGTCACACAGCGACTCAGGATGACGAGCGGTTTCCGGATAAAGGGTTTCGATTTCCAGAGACCCCGTAATGAACAAAATGCGACGTCGGACGTCTGGGTGTGTGGGGGGAGGTGACTGCCACAGCCTGCAGAATAGGGAGGATGATTGATAAGGGGGCAGGAGGTGGGAGGGTGGAAAAGGGAAGAGGAGGATCGATGCACACAGTTTTTACTTGTGTTTGGCGCCTTCTGGTCCTCTGGAGTAACGGCGTCTTCACATTGAGTCGGGGTGTGATTAGTGATTCAACCCTGTCAAGTCAAGATGACCATGTGTTCTCGGTATCCCGCCTCGTGCCTCTTGTATCCGAATTGCAACATAATCGCTACATACCCTAATTTTCAAGGATGTCGGGGGGTCGGTCGCTGGCGTTCTGGGCGCGTCGCGTCATCGGGCGGTCGCCATCCTGGGCAAGGGCACCATTGCGTCCTTTCGCACGTGTCAAGCTCAGGGCTTCCAGTGTCAGCACCGCGTCTCTGGTCATGCAGCGAAGTGATGAGTCGAAGTCGCCCTCGCGAAGCAGGGTGCTCTGCGACCTGCCCAGCCCTAAAGGTCCACACGGGGCAGCTTTGGTGTAGAGGCCGTGGGGCGTGGTCTCTCTTTCTTTTTGTTCTCTTTCTCTCTCTCTCTTTCTCTTTAATGTCATTCTCTCTTTTTTTCCCAACCATCCTGTGGTGTTGGGTCCTCGTTTTGAAGAGACAGCGCCCCGCGTTCACTCCTCCTCCCGCTGCCCCCTCCCTCCTGCCATCATCATCATCATCATCATCATCATCATCATCATCATCACCATCATCACCATCATCATCATCACCATCATGACGATCATAGGGAGCTCCAGCGAAGGCCCCAGTGGCTGCGCTCCCATGCGCCCGCCGCACAGGTTTCGGCACACCCCTCACACGTTTCGTGGCCCCATAGGGAGCTCCAGCGAAGGCCTCAGTGGCTGC